GTAGTAGTAGTAGTAGTAGTAGTAGTAGTATACTGAACAAGAGTAATACTCCAATACTAATATTTATGGCTGTCTTTTTTATTCTAAGTTAAACTATAGCGGTTTTATTTTATGTTATTATTCGTTGATTTAATTTAAATTTGTGTTATGTTTCATGTATATTAAAACATTTTATTAATTATTATAAAGTAGGATATTTAAAACATTTATTTTGTAATAATTATTATTATTATTTTTATTTTTTGCTGAATTTCTTGAATGAAAAGTGCCATCGAAATTAAGGTAATTATTTTATTTTAGCGGAAAAACGCTGGGAGACCTTAAAGCCTTTTCTTTTGTTGACAACAGATTTGTTTTCTTCGGATTTACGCAACTCACACGAGTCATACTTCAGGATGGAAAATATGAAAATCCTTATGAATCCATATGAAAATATGGGGGTGGGAATTGCATCCCTGCAAATTATTTATTTTGGGACAAAGAAAAAAAACATCATGTCATGTGGAGTATTTCATGTGTGATGCTACAAAAGAAGCCAGGAGAAACCTTGTCAGCAAGGAGAAACTAAGAGAAAGAAGAGGAGGAGATGATGTCTAATGAGGTTGGAAAGATCGAGATGGGAAGGTTAAACAAGCAGCAGGAGCCATCAAGTACAGACGCAGTTAAAATCTTGGAAAACCTAAAGCCCCACTGATCTCTTCAGATGCAGAAAACAAAAACTCACATGAGTCCAGGTTCCCTGCAGACTATCACGCTGTGTGTTTCTCTCCAGTCATCGGTAATGGACGCAGGAGATGCCAAACATACAGCATATACCTCCAAATGCTACAAACACCAGTTGTAGCCAACAGCTATGAAAGAGACCTCAAACTTCAGACTGGCTAGAAAAGAACCAAAATGACTCAACATTCTTGTAGCCAGGCTAATAGAACAGCGAAAGTCATGCTAGCAGAAGTAGAGAGAGCAAATCAGAAGAGATGTTTGCAGGAGACTTTGCTTGAAAGCTTGAAGGGGAATGTGTGATATGCATGAGTATTTTTGTTTGTGTCTTTAGAGGCAGGCTTTGCACTGATGCAGACGGAGTGAGACGGATGGTGAGAGCGAAAGAAAGGCTTTTTTCTTGTGCATGCTGTAGGTTATTTTCTCTGAAATGACTGGTCTTGTCCAGTGAGACAGTGTCTAGCACTTGGCATATCGAGGCATCAAAGCACTTGTGCGGCTGGGAGGACACTGTGCAGAGGCACCAGCAGTCACATGACATTATCGTGTTGTGTCACGACAGCTTGTTATTAGCTATCCTAGGGAGATGGGCAGAAAGTCACAACATTCTGTAACTTTTGTATAACATAGACCTTTTTTATTTACATAATAATAAAACAAAAGTTCTGGAACATTCTGAACTGTACAACTGTATAACTGAACTGTATAGCACTTAAACTGAGCTACGATATCAACTAATTTTACAAAAAGAAAAACATCAGCTTAGTAAATAATATAATATAATATAATAAATATAATTTTACTGTGCATTACTTTATTCATTTATTTATTTATTCAGTAGGTGGCAAATCAAAGAAAGTCATTGAGTTATTCACTTAAATTATTTGTTCAAAATGCTGATTCATTCGGGAATTAATTCAATTGGACTGAATTCAGAAAAAAGTAAGTGTAATTTGCTAGTTGGTATTCCAAATTCAGCTTGTCTTTATGAATGAGTCACTTATTTACTCACTTAATTGATTTGCTCAAAGACACTTCAAAACAATTAATTTAAGAAACAACACTACTCTCATGTTCACTCAAATTTAACAGCTTTTAGCCTTGATATCATGTTAGTTTTGTGGCACGTAGTCCATACTGGACTATCAGCTTTGACGCTATTGATATGCTAGAGTTCTTCTAAAAGTGAGAGTTATTTACAGTCTTTCTTAAACTGTAATGACTTAGACTGTATAGACTAAATATATTGAAGACTTATCCTGCATATTTTTTTTTCCTCCAATCAAATACTCTCTAAACGTAACACCAGCAACAAACTTGTAAGTAGCAAATTATGGTTCATGGCTGATATATAATAAATATATATATAAAGCTTATTCAACAATAATAAAATTTGATGCACATAAAGTGCTGGTGACCTAACTTTTTATATTAAGTCACAAAATAGCATCTTCATCCAACCCCAGTACTGCAGTATGGAGTAGGAGGTGACACCAAATCTCACAAGTGCTTCTAATCTATCCATCCCATTGTTCCTATTTCCTTCTCTATCATTCGCTGATCTGCAGTTCTTCTTAAGTAATCCTTTGGGTTTGCACAGGCTCTGCACTCGTGCGGCTGGTAGCAGCGCTGTTAGGCTGATGGAGTGTTCGGAGACCCTGCCTCTTGATCAAGTCTTTCTGTGTAGCCCCTTGGAGAGCCGAAGAATATAGGCATCCATCTTTTTTAAACGCAGTGTGACCGCCGGAATGCCACGTCCCGCTAAGTGCAAGATTAAGTTCTGCTAACCAACTCCCTAAATCCTCTTTAGTGCACTGCAGGCCAGGCTAGCGAGGTGAACCACCACAGCCACAAAGCCCTAGACCCCTTCAACCTCTAGCCACAAGCCCGAGCTCCCTTGACCCAGGTCAGCAATGCATTACTCCAACCGATCAATTGATAGATTGGCCTGTCTGGGCTGCCATAACTAAATCAGCCAATTCTGATGATTCAGCAGTGGTCTGGGAGTCTGGGCGGGTGTCACCAATCAGCGATCACCACCGGCCAGGACAAGTATGGACATTCTCTTGTCACTTCAATTTAATTTATTGCAAACCAGCACATTGATCAAGCTCGTGCCGTTCCACAAGTCATTCAGGCTTGAGCTTGAAGAACGATTAGAGCAAAAGGTGAAAGGACGGAGGCAGAAGTTGAAAAGGTTTTAGAAGAAACTGAACCAATGGTAATTTTTGTGTACAGTGTAGAAATCAGACACTATTTCTCGCTTCCTCTCTGTACCCATAATTCCCAGAAGCTAGAAGCTAATAACGTTTACATGTAAACTTGTGTTCTCTTCTACCAGAATAAAACATATCACTGATCTGTTGGGATAAAAATTTTCTTTTCTTTTCTTGTTTTGTTTTGTTTTGGCATATAGCATAGAGATAACAAAACAATAAAACAAAATAATAATTTGCCCTGTTTCAAGTTTTGCCATCTCTTTGGTCTTTGGTTTAGATCGCTAGCACATACTTCCATGCCTGCAGCTATAGTGCACTAGCAGAAACTACCAAAAATAATGAATCACCTTAAAGTGAGCTAAGAAACTACAGCAATTCAGCCTGTGGGACTAGAAAGCTGTGACGACAGAGGAGTTGCAAAACATAAACAATACGATAATGGCATGACAAATGCACTCTATGCCAGGTTTAAACGTGCATTTTTGGAGATCAGATCAGATTAGATAGCACATTACCACAATAAAAGCAAGGTATCTGAAATTAAAACAACAACTTTTTTGTGTGTGTGTGTGTTAGTAAAATTAATGAATGAATGATAAAAAAGCTTTATATACCAGGATCAGCCTATGAATATGCAGATTCTAGGATGCAAAACATAATGTCAGTATATAGAACATGTGTATAATGAAAATGTATTTGTGCTAATAAAAGTATTACCATGAACAAACCCATACAAAGTAGGGGTGTGCGATATATATTGTCTATGATAATATCGTAATTGTTGTTTAAATGATATGCGAATTGACATTTGTGAGTATATCGCAAAAAACAACCAAAAACACACACAGAGAGTGCACATACACTACAAGATTTAAGTTAGATTACTGTGCGAGCACAGAGTTCACACTTTCACTGCGTTATTTTTGTAAATGTGAAATTGATTAGAACAGTCCAATAAACAAGAAGTTAATATGGACACATTACATTTTTGACACAAGTTCTTGTTTTTGCTGTATTTCATAAACGAAAATAGTTTCAATCAAAGCCACAGCAGAACGGTTTTGCCTCTCTGAGTAACACACAATCAGCCGTTTGAACAAATTTGTTAAATGAATCACTCAATTTTAGGTTTTTATTTAAAATATATTTTTCCTTTTTTTTCCCAAAATAATTTCAAATATCAGTATTCAACATTTTAATTATTTATGCATTTGTAACTGCTTTGTAACTGCAGGTTAAATGCATTCAACGTCCTGCATTAAACAATCTGTGTAAATGCATCTAAATGCCACTTCAGTCTGCAATGCCACTGTCCCACGTCTGCAATGCAAATAAAAATGTTGTTGATACGGATTTATTTTTATTGGTAACAGCCCTATAGTGTCTTACTAAATATTGCCTAATTATCGTTATTGACAAAATTCCAGAAAATATAGAGACATCATTTTTTTGTCATTATCGCACACACCTAATACAAAGACACAAATTACAAACATGCCCAAAATAAACACACATAAAATGATTATCTTGAGAGACTAAAACTCATATAAAATGAGCGTCCTAGCCACGCAAACACATTCCCTCCCAGAGCAGGAGCTTGTAATTGGAGTGCTGATGTGATATTCATCTCTACTGACGTAGTGTTTTGACTAAAGGGGCATCGCTAATCGAATGAGAGGTTGTATTTAATATCCCTCTGTTCCTGTATGGTGCTTGAACACACCAGCACTAAGAAACATACATTAGATTATAGCCGGGTGCCATAGATTACCGCATAGCATCAGAGCCAGACAGCGCCATTGATGTCAAAGAGATCAATATTACAGAACAATTGCCAATGGCTTTGTGACACCTGTTTCAAAGTAACTGACACGGACACACATACAGTATATGCATACACACCACCTTGATAATTATATAGGATTATCTGCTTTGAAGTGTTTCATTTGAGTCAAGGATATCAAACACCAATAGACATTTAAAATAAGTGTTTGTGAATGGCAAAATGTCAGAGTACTTATTTATCATAGAATATTAAGACCCTTTAACGGGTGAACTGTCTCAAGATGAACAGTCAGTATCTAGCCATGACTGAAAGTCAGAAGATAAATATGGAAATTGTTGCTTATATGCGATAGTGGTCCTGACAGAAGTATAATCATTTAGCTACCTTACATTGCGTAAAATATTGTTCAGGACTTACATTGTTCATGTACTCGCTCAGCAGGTCTTGCAGGGCCTGACGCACGGCGTTGCACTCGGCTACGATGCGTTCGCGGCGATCGTCGCGTGTGCAGGATGAGTCGGCCATGAGGGCGGCGCCACTGATGATGCTCTCCAGACGTTCCTCAAGTGACGGCCTGAAGCGAGCCTCACTGAATGTTAGCGGGTCCAGAATGATCTTATTCTGAAACAGAAAACAAAAAAAAATATGGCCAGGATTATGAATTTTTTAGTTTTAGTTTAAAACATTAAAAGCCATAAACAGCTTTGGGAGGAATCACTTCAGCTTTGTTATTATTTGCTTTGTGAGAAATATCACCAGTTGAATTTTTTTTTATAAATATGTAACATAATGAAGTGCCATAGTAGAGCATTGTAAGACTTTTGCACTGAAGTAATTGTGAGAAAACAACAATCAGTATATAAAACCGTTTTATCAGTTTAAAAAAAAACATTACATACACTCTCATTCATTAACATGGGCAGCGACAAAACATGCACTGCTCATGCTCCACTGACACTTGTCATGAAAAAAAAACAAAAGTGACTATTTTTTTTCTCATGAATCATTCATTCAAAACATTCATTCAAAACGCTCATCCAATAACAAAACAAGTATTTATTAACAATGCACTGACTCCTTCATTCATTTTATTTGTATGTATTTTTTTAAATAGACTGAAGCAAATGAAAATTTACACACCACCTTGATAATTATATAGGATTATCTGCTTTGAAGTGTTTCATTTGAGTCAAGGATATCAAACACCAATAGACATTTAAAATAAGTGTTTGTGAATGGCAAAATGTCAGAGTACTTATTTATCATAGAATATTAAGACCCTTTAACGGGTGAACTGTCTCAAGATGAACAGTCAGTATCTAGCCATGACTGAAAGTCAGAAGATAAATATGGAAATTGTTGCTTATATGCAAACAGTACTGTTCAAAGGTTTGACCCCAAACTTTTTTTTTTTTTTGAAAGAAATTAATACAGCAAAGTTGCATGGAATTGATCAAAAGAGACAGTAAAGACATAATGTTACACAAGATTTGTATTTCAAATAAATGCTGTTCTTTTGAACTTCATCTATTCATCAAAGAATCCTGAAGACTGGAGTAATGGCTTCTAAAATAAAAAATGTTATCAACTACATTTTAAAATATATTTAAAAACAAACAGTCAGAATATTACTGCTTTTACTGTACTTTTGATCACATAAATGCAGCTCTGGTGAGCATAAGACACTTCTTCAAAAACATCTTTGAATTTCAGTAGTGTATGACCATTATGAAGTCTACCAAATAAATTCAGTTGTATGTCAGGAAGCAATAATCCTGTCTTTTTTAGCTGAGCAGGCCTTTCCATACACTACAGCTGGAGAAAAAGTACAACATATAATCACACAAACTGAAATTTCTGACAGTGTAGCTTTGATATCGCTTCAGCCATGTTGGAAGTTCATTCTGGAAGTTCCCCTGCTTAAAACTTCAGAAATGTACATAATCTGATATAACCTCATACAGCCTAAGTGTGCTATATGTGATGACGCTAAAGCTTTCCATGCAGAAAGCTCTTCATGTTCCATGTCAACACTGATAAATAAATAACCACTCTTTGGGAAATATTATGTGTATTCATATGGTATGTGTCAACTCCATGAAAGGTATATGTCTACTGTAACCATGGTTGTTGAAGGTAAATGTATGTTTTCTAGCCATTCTGTCTTAGGAATGATTCACAAGCAATGCACAATGTGCAAGAATAAAAGGAGAAAAAAAGTCTCATCAATTAGTCCCCTCACAAAACCTTTATAAAAACAACACTTAAAAGGCAAGTCAGTAAACCTAAATCCAATTTGATAAAGTCTGATTTAAAACAATTTGAACAAACTAAACAAAATAACCTTCCAGAAAAACTAAAAACTAAAACCTTTAAAAAGTATAATCATTTAGCTACCTTACATTGCGTAAAATATTGTTCAGGACTTACATTGTTCATGTACTCGCTCAGCAGGTCTTGCAGGGCCTGACGCACGGCGTTGCACTCGGCTACGATGCGTTCGCGGCGATCGTCGCGTGTGCAGGATGAGTCGGCCATGAGGGCGGCGCCACTGATGATGCTCTCCAGACGTTCCTCAAGGGACGGCCTGAAGCGAGCCTCACTGAATGTTAGCGGGTCCAGAATGATCTTATTCTGAAACAGAAAACAAAAAAAAATATGGCCAGGGTTATGAATTTTTTAGTTTTAGTTTAAAACATTAAAAGCCATAAACAGCTTTGGGAGGAATCACTTCAGCTTTGTTATTATTTGCTTTGTGAGAAATATCACCAGTTGAATTTCTTTTTATAAATATGTAACATAATGAAGTGCCATAGTAGAGCATTGTAAGACTTTTGCACTGAAGTAATTGTGAGAAAACAACAATCAGTATAAAAAAAATATATATAAAAGTATAAAACCGTTTTATCAGTTTAAAAAAAAAACATTACATACACTCTCATTCATTAACATGGGCAGCGACAAAACATGCACTGCTCATGCTCCACTGACACTTGTCATGAAAAAAAACAAAAGTGACTATTTTTTTTCTCATGAATCATTCATTCAAAACATTCATTCAAAACGCTCATCCAATAACAAAACAAGTATTTATTAACAATGCACTGACTCCTTCATTCATTTTATTTGTATGTATTTTTTTAAATAGACTGAAGCAAATGAAAATGATGTCAGATTGTCAGAATCTCTAGTAAATCATGTGATTTTGTGTAGTAGTCTAATACATAAGGGGCATTTCCTCTGAGGAGGCAAGGGAGGCAGTGCAAAATATTGGATGAGAAAAAAAACAGTACAAAAATGAAAATAAAACAACAAATATTATGCATGATATATTTAAATAAAATGAGAATTTTGTCAGATTGCCAGAATATATGTATATCAGGGGCATTTCCTCCATGGAGGCAGTGCCTCCTCAAAATATTGGATGAGAATATATATAGATACAGTATATCTTTTTTTTCTTCACAATCATGTGAGAATTGCAATCTCTATTTTAAACCAAAAGATTGTCCGTCTCATATTCTCCTGAATCGTATATGCTGCATAAAATATTTAGACCCTATAGTCATAGAAATGAATTTTTGATGTACTGTATAAAACAACCAATCACAATCTTTAGATTATTGTCTTATACTGTATGCCTTAGTCTCACAACTGTGAATAAAAAAATCCCCCAGATGGTAGAGATCTTTGTGTAGCCGATAGAAGATAAGAGCTGTGAGATTTTTGCCATAGTTTCCATTAGCTAACCACTGAAGACAGTCGGTTGGAGTCCATACCCAGAGGCTGCTAAGGTGACCTTCAAGGTGAGATCCAGGGCCTCGGTTACAACCACATTGTGATTTAATGGGGCTTTTAAACACAGGACGCAGACTCAAGAACAGCCTCCCTTTTTATTGATGAAAAGTTGCTACCAAATACAGGCTTTATGATCTCTAGGGATGGGAAAATTACCATATTGATAGTGGCGATATTATGTTTTACGGCTATATATGAATACGGCTTCGGCAGCAGTTTGCATTTTGTGGACTTTGCCGGTGCAGATGAAGTGGAGGTGGCATTTAGAGGAACCAGAGGTGGCTTGTGTCTGTGCCCTTTACTTTGGAGACTAATATTCAGAAAGCCACTTCAGCAACTCAGACCTGCAGTTAATAAGAAGTTCACAGATCTTTTGTCGTTTATATCTCAGCATGCACTTCCTGTTCTTTGCCATGTCCACAGGCAGGAAATGATGTTTGTGTTTTTTGTACTGTATGCTAACCTAGCAGCAGTACTGCCAGCTAACAGCGACGCAATTAGAGAGAAAGACAGAGACAGCTTTCCCATAATAGCCTGTTGCCATGGAGATCAACTCTTAAGTAAAAGCAATAGCAGAAGTCTTGGCCATCTCAATGACTCAGTGATAAATATGTGGACATGTATTGGTTTGTACCCAGCTCTATTGCGGTCCACCCTCTTCTGCCTGACTGAGGGGCTAAAACAAAGACTGGTGTGAAATGTTTGATGGGAAAGTGACAGGCAGAACTTTCAGATGCCGACAGGCTGGACCAAAGCCATTGTGAAACAATTTGTACAGATTACTTAGATCTTGTGTGACTCATATGCCGAGTACATATTCCAATTATGATTTGATTTAGTTGAAGACAACATAAAACAGCCTTCGCAACACATCTGACTCCTGTAATGCAGTGTGTACTCGAGTCAAACAATGTTTAGAAGGAAGTAATGAAGGCCGAGACCTGGTTTGATTAAACAGGAATTGATTTGCATTTTGAAAATCCAGCTCATATTTGTGGTTACTATTTCTCCACCTGCATGGCCTTCAGCCTTCTTTTTTCTTTACAATAGCATCGATTCATAAGCACTGATGAATCATGTAAAATGAGACCAGGTACATTTATTCCACAAATAAACAAGACCAATTTTGTTTTCATGCTGCCCTTAAGAGAAGCTTAATGCAATGCTTGCAGAATGATTGAAGAAAGAAAAACTCATCAGTGCTTGTGGGAATTGCATTCGTCATCATGCCTGGATCTTGGCCTTATCAAAACACTTCTCTATATGATTTTCTCGATAAGAAAAAATACTGTAGGTCAAGGATAGCAGGGCTTTCAAATACATACAAATATATTTACACAACAGTCCTTTCTGGTCCTTGAATTTGATTGGCTGATAAGAGTGTGATATTAGCGTCCACCAGAACTCCAACAGCCGTTTCACCATTTGTATCACTCCACTTGCCAAAGTTGCCATATTTCTCACAATGAGTGTCATGGCGGATGCCCAAATCCACTATAATTTAAAAAATAATACTTTTTTGTGTCACAGAATGTAGTTATAAGAGTTTTTTAGGCAAGAATGTACTTGTTTGGACTTCAAATATGCAGTTTGTTAATAAAGATAACGTCTATTTGAAAATTTGCTTCAATGTTTTCGGCGACGTAAGCTCCAGAGCGTCAGCGGTATATAAAATATATATATTTTAGTTAAACACGGCATATTTGCTCAGTGAGAACTATGAAAAAATATATATATACGAATGAAAATTCAACTTTGCCATCTCAGGGATAAATTATATTTGAGTTATTTTATATTGTAAAAGTATTTCACAGATTACGATTTTATTTAAAATAAATGCAGTGAGCATAAGAGCAAAATGAGCAAAAACATAAAAAAATTACTGACGCTACAGGTTTGAATGGTCCTTTAAAGTTTTTTGGACAATAAATCTAAGAATACCTAAATTCTCAAATCTATACGACCACACATACCTAAAGACACAAACCACATAGAATATGCACTAAAAAGACAAATGAAGTGAAATGCAAAAAGTCACTCTGAAAGGGCGCCATCAATTTGTCTGCGCTAACATAATTAGTCCAGATTGATTGCTGAGGAGTACACAAACTCATCTGTAAAAATGGATCATGATAGGCCAGACGCAATCAGTTATGTAGTGTACTGTATGCGCGTGTGTGTATGTTTTAGAAGTGGGTGGGAATGCCACTTACTCCTCTCACACAATGTGACAGGTTGTTTGTCAAGGACGGTATAATGAGGGAGGGAACGAGAGAGCGGTGCATTGAACGCAACCTACTTTTACACAGTGACTAAAGTGCTTTGGAGCGTGAGGACAGGAAAGAGGAAAAACATGGGTGAGAGAGAGAGTGAAAAGGACAGAAAGAGTGTGACGAACAAAGTTGGCTAGGCTGGTGACTAGTCTGTGTGGGTTATTAATGATTAGTGTCTATCTAGGGTGTCTCTAATTCTGGCTGGAATCCAGCAAACCACTGTCCTACATTCAATGCTGGTGTGTGTGCGGACATACAACAAGGTTAAGAGGGCTGGTGCTCCATCTGATTGAGTCATACAAACACCACCTGCTCCATCGCAGTGCCATCAACACTCCCTCCATTTGATAAGCTATTAAAAAGTTTCTGTTATCACTGTAAAGCGACTGCCCACATCAGAAGTCTGTCTCGTGTGTTTGTGTTGTGTGTTGGCAAGCCTTCTGTCCACCACAATAGTTTATATACACCACCCGCATACATACGCTTGCTTGCATTCGAGTTTGAGTCCTCACAGTCTGTAGGGTAAAAGAGCTGTTCTGAAACTGAGAAAGCTTGACTAAACACATTTCTGTGACTGATGCAAACAAAGAATGACAAACCCATTTTTTTTTTTTTTACTTTGTCAAGGCAATCTCATAGATGCCACAGTAGCCAAAAAAAAAAAAAAACAGCGAACAGTATTGAATCACTTTTCAGTCATTTCCTTAAAGAGGTCATATCATTTTTTTTACATACTTTATTTTTATTACTATTGTATTACTATTTTAAATTTTATTTTACATCTTATTCTATTTTATATTTAAATTTTAATTGTTTAATTTTCATTTCCTTTTTTTCCCCTCTTAAGGTCTTTGCACACTGAGTCTGAAAATTTCGTATGCGTTTTATCGTTTTCGTCATCGTCACACACAGAAACCTTGCACACCGAGTCAAAATGCGTGCTATGAATGTGAAAAACACAGAAAATTAAACCCGATCCGAATTTTTTTATGGCGGATGAAAGTTTCGAAGGCAGTGTGAAAATGTGATTGACACAACGATAGGGATGGGCAATACGGGCTTAAACATATATCAAGATAAATTCTGGCATTTATTGCGATTGCGAGATCAATGATGATAATTCAGGGAATCTTATGAATCCACTTAGAGAAAAAAAAATCCTGTTTCTTTAGAGAAAAGTATTATCTTTCCTATTTGTACCCTGGTGTTATGAGCATTACTAAGTACACATGTAATGTAATGACTATTTCATACTGGAAGCCACAACATATGTCAACAACTATGCTTTATCATTATTTTCGCGGGAAGACTAATTCTTATCGCGGGGAGAATTTCTACCGGTAGGCTATATCGCAAACGATAAGATATCGCCCATCCCTACACAAGGAGAGGTCGTATTTATTCTTATCGTGTGAAAATTGCGGGCACAGTGTGCAAAGACCTTTAGGTTCAATACAGTTATAATGTGCTCTATTTAATTTACATTTTCCATCCTTTCTCTCACTTATAGAATTAAATGACAATTTTTTTTTCTTGTTATCATGCCAATAAGACATTTATGTA